TCTAACTCTATTGAAGTGTTCTTTCAGTTCCTGTATTTTTTCTTTGATTTCACTTCTTATACTACCCTTTACTTCACATATTAATTTATGTACAAACTGAACTCCTTCTTGGACATTTCTTCTACTGTGTTATCAGTGGCTTCTGTCGTTGAAACATCTTGGCTTGTTTGGGGTGCTTTATTCCCTGTTTTTTTCATGTTGTTAGTTTGTTTTCCCATGTAGAAGTATAGGTCTAAGGTAGCGTAAATTCTACCCTGTAGATCTATAGTGACCCTGAAGGTTTCTAGTGTTTTAATGGTGAGACCAATATCAGCAGCACCCAGCATACATGATCGCGATATATAGCCTTAATCCTACTAGCTCCCACTACTGCTTTATCGTATTAAATCAAAGTGATGAGTTCAATATCTTTAGTACAAACAGAAAATTTGTTAAAATGCTTTACAATTTCAAATGGTAGATGAGAACAGAGGTAGGGTAATATGTGATATTCACGAGTGAGGAAGAGAAAAGCTAGAAGTGAAAATTTACAGGAGGAGTGGAAGAAGAGCCTATAGAGACTGGCTGTTGGTTGGAGAAACATTGGGAAAAAAAATCCAAGAAAATAGACAAGAGAGAGGAAGACTAAGAACAAAGAGAAAAAATTAAAGACATAAGAATACAACAAAAATGCAAAACACCATTCATATATCATTGTCCTCCACACACTGATGCATAAAAAACATCCTATTCCAAATATGGTAGAGAAATTAGTGAATCAAAAAATAAAATAAAATAAATCTTGCTGGAAAGTCAACTGTCTTCGTCAGTGTTCAACAGTTTCTCAGCCCTGTCTCTGATGTCTTTTGGGATCACCAAACCCAGATCAGCCCTTGCAAACCCAGTCTCTATCCCACTGATTTGGGCTTCAGTTACCTCAGGCTTGGCTACGCTGCAGTCCCAAGATCTCATTGCTGTTCCTACTTGCAGAAAGACCACTAGGGATACACTTGTGCAAAAGAACAACCCCAAGATGCAGTAGCAAGACAAGGGCCACCAGCCCTCTCAGCAGGAAGACCCCAGGCTCCTCCAAACCTGCAGGCACCCCCACACTGGACATGCAGGTCCTGGCTGGAGTCCCCAGACAGAGGCTCTTGTGGTGGTAAACCTGCTTGTTCCGGGGCCCCAGGCCCTGGCTGTCCCAAAATGGGTGTAGCCATGTGCAGCCAAACCTGGAGTCTCCCCCAAATCAGTCCTCTTTGCTGTGGTAGCAGTGGTAGTGGCAATGGTTGCTGGTAGCAGGCAGCAGGGTCAGTAGCAGTGGTGGCTGCTGTGGCAGCTGCAGCTGTGGAGGCAGCGTCACCAGGCGATCTCAGGGGGTGAGCAGCAGTGTCGGCTTCAGTTGCATCCAGGGCAGAGGTGTCTTCTGTGTCAGCAGCACCCAGAAAGAAGACCTCCAGGCAACCTCAGGCTGGCAGCAGTGGAATCAGAGGCGGCAGCAATGGTCGTAGTGGTGCAGGTGGCAGTTGAGTGACAGGAGATTTTGAGGGCATTGATTGTAACAGTATTGTTCACTACTGTCTAGAAGAATGTCAAGAAAATAGCATGAATTCAATAAATATTTTAAATGAGTGTTGGATAAAATTCTCTTTAAGGATAAGAGCTATAAGCAGTATCTAATACATTTTTTTCCAGAAGGATATTGATACTCAGTTGAAAAGGATATAACTTGTTGGAGAGAACATAAATTATGTTGTTGCTCCATAGGAAGAGAAAATCAAGGCTGTAACCGAGTGATGGGTTCCTGAGTGGGAGAGAGACAGGATAGGCATTTCATTCATTTCATTTCCTTCACTTAGTGAAGTGAATGACAGTAATAGTCCAGAGAGCTTGGAGTAGGCAGTCCCAAGAGAGAAAGTGGCCTGGGGTTTTCCAAGGTGAGTTTCTGCATTTGGTCTGGAAACATCTCTCCTCATGTGTTAAGCATTTGGGGTGGTTACTAGGTTTTCCCTCCATGGCTTAGTGTACCTGTGCTGACTTTGCCACGTTAGAAAATTTCCTATTGGCACCTAAGCAGAACCACCCTGAGGGATGTCAAAACTGCAGTGTAAATGATATTACAGTGAACTGGGGTCACCCAAAGGACAGAGCCTCAGTGCTGTGTGTGTGTGTTCCAAGCCTGGAAAGTCCCTTAAGTTGGTCATACCCTGTTCTTTAGTTTTGTTTTTTTTTTTTTTTTAAATATTTTTTCTAGTTGTAGATGGACCTTTATTTTACTTATTTATTTTTATGTGGTGCTGAGAATCTAACCCAGTGCTTCACACATGCTAGGCAAGTGCTGTACCACTGAGCCAGAACCTCAGCCCTTTTTTAGTTTTAATAAGATAGTAACTGGTCATGAAGGATGCAGCTTACATGTGATTTTTTTCATCACACTGAGTAGTGTGATCTTTTGTCACTGGAGATGGACTGAGCCCTATTGTCCCCGGTCTCCATGCTTATATCTGCCTATCTGTGTAGTCTTAACAATAATTATTTTTTTCTGTTAGTAAAAATTTTTTCTTGAGGTGTAATTTGCATACCATTCAACTTGCCCATTAAAATATAAAATTCACTGGTTTTTAGTATCTGAACAGATTTGTACATTTATCACCACAGTCAATTTTAGGACATTTTTATCACCCCTAGTAAGAATCCTACAACCAGTAGCATTTATTCACCCTTTTTTCAACCTCTTTGGCCTGAGACCACCACTGATCTTTTTACATCTATAGATTTGCCTATGCTGGACAGTTCATATAAATGGAATTCTATAATATGTGGTCTTTGTGACTGGTTTCTTTCACCTGGCTTACTTAAGTTTTTGAGGACAGCCATGTTTTATCTTGTACTGGTGTTTCATTTTACAACCAAGTGATATTCCGCTGTATGGTTACATTGCATAACTTTGTTTACATTTTGTTTATCCAGCAATTTATTAATGGAACAGTTGGGTTCTACTTTTTGACATTTATACATGATACTGCTTTGGCACACCTGTACAAGTTGTATGTGGCAATATGATTTTATTTCTTGTGAGTACATGTCTAGGGTTGGATTGCTTAGTCATGTAGTATTTCTATGTTTAATATTTTGAGGGACTGCTGTTCTGAGAAGTCACTGTACGGTTTGACATTTCCATCAGCAAATGTATGAGGATTCCAGTGTCTCCAGTTCCTCACAGTGCTTGTTATTGTCTGTTGTTTTTAGGTATCTTTGTGGAATAGTGATATCTCATTGTGGCTTTGATTTGCATTTCCATGGTGGCTAATTATATTGTCATCTAATGTGCTTATTGGCCATTTTTATATCTTCTTTGAGAAAAGTCTTTTTAGATCTTTTAAAGCCTCAGTAATTTTATGCCCTTTTTGTTCCTGAAGGAAAAGAAAAGTTGGGAAAACTACAGGCTATAATCAGTGCATTTCAGTCTTCCCCCCCCGCCCCCCCAAAGGCAACTGCTTCATGGTATCTGTAGGCAACTCTTCCATACTGGATTGCCACCTTCTCAGAGGACTTTCTTGAAGTAGACACTCCTTCCCTTTCTCTCTGATCTTTTTTTTTTTTTTTAATTTTTTTTTATTGGTTGTTCAAAACATTACAAAGCTCTTGACATATCATATTTCATACATTAGATTCAAGTGGGTTATGAACTCCCATTTTTACCCTAAATACAGATTGTAGAATCACATCGGTTACACATCCACATTTTTACATAATGCCATATTAGTAACTGTTGTATTCTGCTACCTTTCCTATCCTCTACTCTCCCCCCTCCCCTCCCCTCCCATCTTCTCTCTCTACCCCATCTACTGTAATTCATTTCTCTCCTTGTTTTTTTTCCCATTCCCCTCACAACCTCTTATATGTAATTTTGTATAACAATGAGGGTCTCCTTCCATTTCCATGCAATTTCCATTTTCTCTCCCTTTCCCTCCCACCTCATGTCTCTGTTTAATGTTAATCTTTTCCTCCTGCTCTTCCTCCCTGCTCTGTTCTTAGTTGCTCTCATTATATCAAAGAAGACATTTAGCATTTGTTTTTTAGGGATTGGCTAGCTTCATTTAGCATAATCTGCTCTAATGCCATCTATTTCCCTGCAAATTCCAAGACTTTGTCATTTTTTAGTGCAGAGTAATACTCCATTGTGTATAAATGCCACGTTTTTTTTTTTTTTATCCATTCATCTATTGAAGGGCATCTGGGTTGGTTCCACAGTCTAGCTATTGTGAATTGTGCTGCTATGAACATCGATGTGGCAGTATCCCTGTAGTACGCTTTTTTAAGGTCTTCAGGGAATAGTTCGAGAAGGGCAATAGCTGGGTTAAATGGTGGTTCCATTCCCAGCTTTCCCAGGAATTTCCATACTGCTTTCCAAATTGGCCACACCAATTTGCAGTCCCACCAGCAATGTACAAGAGTACCCTTTTCCCCACATCCTCGCCAGCACTTGTTGTTGTTTGACTTCATAATGGCTGCCAATCTTACTGGAGTGAGATGGTATCTTAGGGTGGTTTTGATTTGCATTTCTTTCTGGTTTTATTATTTTTGTATAATACTCTCCTAAATAAGTTTTTCTGGTTTGCATTCTCCTCTTGTTGGGTGTAAGCTCCATTAGGAGAGGGATCTTTTTTCCTTGGCACACTAATTGGACCTCAGCAAATACTGGTTGAATGAATGAATAAATGAATAAATGAATGTGTGGGAAGACTAGGCTCTGGAGTCCACCACTCATCCGTTACTTGGGAGATATTTAGTTTCCTTAGGTTTAACATCTTTATATGAGTACCTGTGTCATTGGATGGCTGTAAGGATTAAATTAATTGGTGTATGGGAAATATTGCACATCATGCCCATCCTATAAAGAAAACAAGGGCTGGCAGTTTATTTCTTCCTGTTTTTGGCATAACTGTATGGTTGCAAGGAGTGTGTGTTTATCTGTTATGGATGCAAGTGAACCATTTTTTTAAAATTTTTTTTTCCAGGGAATGCAGAGAGCAACTAATGTCACCTATCAAGCTCACCATGTCAGCAGAAACAAGAGAGGTCAGGTGGTGGGGACCAGAGGTGGCTTTCGTGGTTGCACAGTTTGGCTAACAGGTATGGTCAAGAGAGAAACCAGTTTATTTTAAAAGCAGTGCTTATCAATAGTTTTGGATTAGGAGTAGACATAGTTCTTGTCTTTGGAGCAGGAACAATGTGTAGTGGACATAGTTGCAGCAGCAGCATCATCATCATCATCATCATCATCATAATAAATGTTTTGTTAATTCCTTTTGTTCTTTTGTAGTATTGCTGTTAAATAAGGGGGAAATAGCAGAATGCATCTTAAAACCACCTCTTAATAGAAACCACACCAAAATCTCTAAGCTGAGTACAAATAAGGTCTGGTTCTGCTTCAAGGAGCTAACAGTGTTAATTGTATGGAGAGAAAGAATGACTAATAAAGAATTTCAAATTATCAGTTTCTATCTTGCAGCTTGTGTGGCAAGCTCACGGTTTCTTGTGTTGATTATCTCTTTGGGCTTAGCCATAGTAGGGTGGCTAGAGGGTAAATTGATTTTAGGAAAATAGTTTTAAAAATGATGCTCCTCAAAAAAATGTTAATTGCATATATGAATATGCCATGTTTCTGTGTAATTGATAATAATTATAATAATATATAATGTAATATTATTATTATATTATTACAGTTACAAAAATGAATCCTTTCACATGTAGGAACTGTATTAAAAATGTTGCCAATTGTCCACTAAAACTTTGTATCGATTGACTACCACCAAGAGTATGGGAGAGGGTCCATTTTCCAGTATCTTTGTCAACACTATCTTTACCAGTCTTTAAAAATTTGTGCTAAAAATAATTAAATAAATAAAAAGTTGTGCTGATTGTTAAAAGCAACATTTTAAAAATATTACATGTTGTAGACAGATGTTTGTTTTTCTGTGAAAGAAAACAGCACTCTTGAATTTTACCTGTCCCCTCATTCTTAAATTGATCTAGATTGTTGTAAAATTGTTGCTTTTAAATTGCCTAGGTTTGTAACACTTACATTTTGGGGGGGGGGTACTTTTTATTTTGGGTACTGGAGATTAAACTCAGGGCCTTTTTTTGTACTTTATTTTATTATTTAGAGATAGGATCTCATTGAGTTGCTTAGTGCCTTGCTATTCTTGAGGCTGGCTTTGAACTCTGGATCCTCCTTTCTCAGCCTCCAGAGCCTCTGGAATTATAGGCATGCACTACCCTGCCTGCCCACATTTTGTTTTAATATCTTCAATTTTTATACTTCTTTATATTTTTGTTGTATTTAATACTCAGGAACTCACCATCATTTCTTTTATTATGTCATGGTTGTTTGTGTGCCCTTTATTTGAATCAAGTCATGATAATTTGTATTTCATTGTTAAGTAGTTTTTGAAAGATGTCTTCTGTTGAGATCTGAATCCTGAGATTTTATGTTTGCAAGTGTCTGCTCATATTTTATGACAGCCTGACTGGGTAAAGTGTATATTCGAACCATACTTTTTCTTGAAATTATAAAAACAGTACTCTGCTGTCTTCTGGCATTTAATGTGTTTGTGAGGATGTATGAGGCTGTTCAGATTTTTCTTTCTGTTTAGGAACTTTACTGTTTCCATTTGATATTGGAAGAACTTTTTTTTAAAAAATTGATATATTAAATTTTTGGTAGTTATAGATGGACAGAATGCCTTTATGTTATTTGCTTATTTTTGTGTGGTGCTGAGGATTGAACCCAGTGCCTCACGCATGCTAGTCAAGTGCTCCACCACTGAGCCCCAGCCCCAGAAGAACTATTTTTAGTACCAGGGATTGAGAGGGGCATTTAACCACTGATGCACATCCCCAGTCCTTTTTTTTTTGTATTTTATTTAGAGACAGAGTCTCACTGAATGCAATTGCTTAGGGCCTCACTATCTCTTTGTTCCAGTTACTGTTGTGTAACAAATTATCCCACGCCTAGAGGTGTAGAACAGCAACCATTTTAATCTTCTTACCACTCTGAAGGTAGGGAGTTCAGGAGGGCACAGGAGCCCCTTTTACTGGGGCCTTGTCTGGTTGTGGTCATGCTAGATTGGGCCGTCGCTGAAGCCTGGACTGGATATCCAGGGGATTTAGTTGGCTGATGCTGTGTATCTGTTGGGAGCTTAGCTGTTGATACTGTCAATTGAAACATCTACCTCTGGAATTCTCCCAAATTCAGTGACCCCAGAGAAGCTGTACAGTTTTTTTCTGACCCACAACATCATTTCAGTTACATTCTTTCCACTAATGGTGTATCTTCAAGCCAGCCCAGATGCAAGAGTGGGGCATTAGATTGTGCCCTTGATGTGACCATGGCAGCATCATCCTTGGGAAATATAATCTGCTGTACTTGTTGAATATTTGATGAATAAAGCAGCCAGTGCTCTCTTGATCCTCTCAACATTGTCATCCTTTCTGGTATTATTTTTTTCAGTTAACCTTCTGTGCTACCATGATTTCTCTCAAGAGCATTGACACATTAAACTTCAGTATTTTATCTCTTACCTTATATTTTATCTCTTACCTTATAACTCCCTTGACTGTGAATTGTATAATTGTATACTTATCAAAATGTTAAAGTATTAGTGCATAAATGTGCTTTTTCCTTTATTATTATAGAGGAAAACGAGTTGAAATGAGGATATTCTTTTAAGAATATTATAAGTTGTACAAATACTTATAATTATTTGTATAAATTGTATAATACAAAAGAATATTATACATACACTTAAAAAATTTTTTTAGTTGTAGATGGACACAATACCTTTATTTTATTTTTGTAATTTTTATGTGGTGCCGGGGATCAAACCCAGTGCCTGACACATGCTAGGCAAACGCTCCATCACCAAGGTACAACCCTGGCCCTGTACATACACTTTTTATCATGGTAGTCTGTAATAGGTGATGATCCTGCAATATATAGCTAACTTTTAATATTTCACTTACTTTTGTCCTTTCTTTTTATTCCTTTATAAATAATTTGAGAATTTAACTTTTTAAATTGGTGGTATTTTAGTATTAATAAGAAGGCAAAGTATGAAAAACATACCCAATCATTTTAGAACTTATTGATGACTTCTAGGATACCTTTGGGCATAGAGATGTAATCAAAAACAAGTGTTTATTTACTAGGTAAATAATCTCAAATGAAAATATTGGATAAGAATGTTCCTGAGAGACCTATGTGAATCATGAATACATTTAAGCCTGTTATTAAAATTCTTTGGTAGTTGCTGTTCTAACTTTACATATGGAATCTCTCTGGCTGTTTACTTTTAGGCTTGTCTGGGGCAGGGAAGACCACTGTGAGCATGGCTTTGGAGGAGTACTTGGTTTGCCATGGCATCCCATGCTACACTTTGGATGGTGACAATATTCGTCAAGGTCTTAATAAAAATCTTGGCTTTAGTCCTGAAGACAGAGAAGAGAATGTTCGGCGCATTGCAGAAGTTGCTAAGCTGTTTGCAGATGCTGGCTTAGTGTGTATCACCAGTTTTATATCACCCTATACTCAGGTTTGTGGATTTTGTGCCAATGCTATTCTGATTACATCAATTGAAAATGTGGTATTAGAGTACCTAACTGAAACAGTGACTTGTTCTTTGAGGTTAACTCCAAATTAAAATAACCTACACAGTTCTGTGCTGTGACTTTTCTGAGTAAATCCAGTTTTGGGAAAAGCTGCTGTTATAAAAACAGGTTTTTATAATCTAGAGTATAATAAAGTTATTGAACTTAAGCCCATGGCTAAATTATTTCAAGCTTGACGTTTCAGTTCAGTAAACCTATTGTGAACACTTGGCAGATGTCAGACACCAGGAAAAGTTCAGGTTTCTTAACACATGTCCTTTATGATGTCATTGATCTTGATTCTTTTTTGTCAGTTCCCGTCACACTCTGACTTTATAGAGACCTTAGCAACACCAAGTCACTTTTTGTATTTCTCTGAAAAAAGTCATGTTGTTCTTTATCTCAGGATTTTTGTTTCTCCCTGACTCAGAAGGCATTTCTCTCCTTCCTCTTGCCCATCTTTTCTTAGCCTCAGTTGAGTTCTCTTCAAAGTTTGAGACTCAGGTTAGGCATCTCCTCCTCATAAGCACTTTTCTTCCTCCCTCAGGCTTTGTTGGGCTCTGTCTTTTATGCCCTTGTTACTGTACTTTAACACATTACTTTACAATGTCCTAGTTCACTGGTGCTGCTTATAGTACCAGTAGCGATAATAATAGTAGCTAACATTTATTGAACACTTACTTTTTTTTCCCTTTGGTACAGGGATTGAACCCAGGGGTGCTTAACCATTGATCCATCTCCCCAGTCATTTTTTTACTTTGAGACAGGGTCTCCCTAAGTTGCTTAGGGCCTCTCTAAGTTGCTGAGGCTGGCTTTGAGCTTGTGATTTTCCTGCATCAACATCCCGAGTCTCTGGTATTACAGGTGTGTGTCACTGCATCCAACTATTGAACACTTACTTAAATATGCTGCTAACTGTTGTAAAGTGCTTTTATGTGAATTAACTCATGTAGTTCTCATCTTCAGTGAGGAAGGTATATGTGAGGAAACTAAGGTGTACATTGGCCAAAGTCACATGCTATACTGGTAAAGCAAGGATATACACTTGGACAGTGTGTCTCCAGGACCCGTGTTCTATCCACCATGCTATGTTGCCTCCAGATTCCACGGATTCCTTGAGTGTTAAGGTCTTCTTTATGTTTGGTCTTCTTTAACTTGGTACCAAAGCCAGATTCTTAGTGTTCGTTGAATGACAACCTATTGCCCTTAGAAAGCCCAGATGTCAAATACTAAGCAAATTTGTATAGCGATTCAAAGCAGAGTCTGTCATTGGAGTTGGACACAGGTGGTTTAGAATCTCACCTCTGCTGGTTGTTAACTGTTATGGCCTTGGCCAGTTCACTTAACTTTCTTAAGCTCCATTAATGCCTAATTAACGGTCTTTCTGAGGATTAGATAAATCAAGCACGAAAGTCCTCAGCAAAGTGTCTGGCATGTGACAAATATTCAACAATGTAATAAATAGTAATGGCACAATTCTAGTACTGTATTAGAAACACATTTTTTTTTAAGAGAGAGAGAGAGAGAGAGAGAGAATTTTGTAATATTTATTTTTCAGTCTTTCGGCAGACACAACATCTTTGTTTGTATGTGGTGCTGAGGATCGAACCCAGGCTGCACGCATGCCAGGCGAGCGCGCTACCGCTTGAGCCACATCCCCAGCCCAGAAACACATTTTAATGATCATGTAGACTTTTTTAAAACAAAATTTGACCTGTAAGAAGTGTCAGATTGTTAACCTCACAGGTTCAGTTAATTGAAGAATGGCAGAAGTCCTAAAGTGTTCCCTGAGGACTAACTATACTTTTTATTGTCCTGAAACCTTGGAATCAGTGTCAATCTGTCAGTTTAAAGTGTATCAGAAGAAATATGTAAACAGAACGAGTGTTATTTAGCATTTCTGAATCCTTGGGTATGAACAATTTTAAAGGAAACATAATCATAGTGAAGTTCTTGTACCTTCTGTGCATCTTTGCAACTCTTGGGACATTGGTAAAGTCAGTGAGACTTGCTTTGGAGAGCTACCAGCTGAGGCTAGGGTATCTAAAAGTCTTTGCTGATCTCCCTGCCTTGTGTTCATAGTGTGGATCAAAATCTTTGTTGTCCTCATTTGTAAAAGCTCTAAGAATGAGGTTGGAGTATGTTTAGGGTATGTCAAAATTCATAATATTTGGGTTGGACCGTGTAATATAGGTATGTATATTTTCCTGTCCAGTCATGATCAAATTTATGCATTCAGTAAATGTGTTTGGGGCATCTTGGTTCTAAACACAAACCTAATACTTCTAGTATTAATTATTAATAGCTCAATGAGTAAAGGCCTGAGAATGGTGAGACCAGCTGTAGCGCTGTAAAATCCACACCTCTTATCTTGATGGTGGTGGGAAGTCTCTGAAGAGTCTAATAGGATGATAAGACTTACATTAGCTGGTACCCTGGAAATAGTGCAGAGTGTGGCTTTGAGCATTGAGAATACTGATGAAAAGGATGTTCAAGTTGTTCCAGTGAGAGAAATGAGGTTGAATGGGGAGTGGGGAAATAGGGCAGATGGGGTTGGTGTGGCACATAGAGGTAATAATCTGAAGGACTTTTGACCCAGTGAATGTTGGGAGAGGTAAAGAATCAGACCAATTCAGGTTTAAGAGCGCATAGTGTTGTCATACCTTGGGCAGTGGAAGGAGGAATGCAGGTTTGGAAGAAAAGAGACTGGATTCATTGTTGGTCATATCAGTTTGAGGCGCCTGTGGGATATCCAGGTATTTAGGAAGAAGTTGATGTATGTTTAATTTCAGAAGAGAAGTCAGGGCTTGGGCTTCAGTGTTGGTGTATATGTTATTTTATTTTTTGGTGTATGTGTTCTTATTTATTATACTATGGAGGCAGCTGAGTAGAGTGCTCAAGGCCTGCTGAAGATGAGCAGCATGCTATGGTGGAGTGTGGGCAACCCTTGTGTTTAAGGGAAGCAGTGCATGCCTGATCTAATACCTCCAGAGGCTAAGTAAGGGAAGAGGGTCACAGGTTCAAGGCCCCCCTTCACAAGTTTCAAAATGAGAAGTAAGGGAAGGGCAAAGCGAGGGCTGGGAGCCAGACGGAATGTGCAGGGGAATGATTGGGGAGTCACAGTTAGGATTCTGTTGGGGTGACAGTGTGATATGAAGTCAGATTCCTGGCATTTTAAGCACTGAAAAGCAGCTGAGATGAAGGGAAACTTTTTGTATGATTTGTTAGTTTGTTTTAAATGGATGAGAGTGACTTCTGTAATGCTTGTGGGGAAAGCAGTAGAGAAGGGTAAGGCTGATGATTTCAGATGGAGTAGGGAGAATGCGTTGAACAGCATTCATGTCATCCTACAGGATGACATGAAAGGGGAGGGGATTTGGACTATGTGAAGGGTGGAGTGATGGGGAGGATAGATAAGATTGTTAGGATGTAGATACATTTGTATGACACACTTGACCAAGAGCTTTTGTGCCTGGGGATTTTCTTTTGAAAAAGAAAGTACTGTCATCTGGTCAGAATGGAGCAAATAGGCATGGTTTTTTCAGAGGGCTCAAAAGAAAGGTGGCATATGCTAAAATGTAGGAAAAGAATGGCGGAAGTTGAGGAACTAGCTTTGGAAATATGGGCACTGCAGTGTGGTTAATACAGAGTACAAATGTGGAGCTTGCACTTGAGAACAAAAGCCAAATGAAGCATCCTCAAGGTAGAGCTGGCTTTTAGTTAAGAGAGGGAAGAGGATGATGTTGACTTTCAAAGAAAAAAGTGTTCCAGTGGGGTGGAGAGTTTAGATAGAGCGATAAAGGTGGTTTCTAGAGGGTTGCTGGTTAGGAGCTGTACAGACAGATATGTTTTGGCAATGCTAGAGAGAGGCGGCTGCAAGGGCTGCATTTGGTGAAGGAGTAAGCCAGCATTGGGGTTCTGGATAGACTTCTTTTGTGAAGTCACTTTCATGCTAACCTGGGCTGAGGTTAAAGGTGATAACAGAGGCCAGATGACACCTGCATTCCAGCTGGACTTTGATTCAGGTTTCCAGTTGAATTTAGGTCAGAGTATTCATGGAACATCCATTGTTTCTCTTCTGGAACTTTCCAAGATGTTGGGTTTGCATTCATTAGGCTAATGAATATTAACCTAATAATGTCTTGGATTTGTTCATTTCAGTTTATATTTTTAAAATATAAATTAATTTTTCCTGATATATTTTCCACTAACTCAGTTGGAAAGCACTTTTACTTGTTGTTATATGGTACCCTTGATGTGTGTGATCACTTTTTGTTGTTTCTGTGCTTGTCGTGTTTTTTTAAAGGATCGAAACAATGCAAGGCAAATCCATGAGGGTGCAAGTTTACCCTTTTTTGAAGTCTTTGTTGATGCTCCTCTGCATGTCTGTGAACAGAGGGATGTCAAAGGACTCTACAAGAAAGCACGAGCGGGAGAAATTAAAGGCAAGTAATATTTTCTTCCCAGTTTCTCTTTGCTTAGATATTTTATGTTTCCACCTGTCTGATACTCTTTTCTCAGAGATTGGGAATATTCAAGTGAGTATTCAAATGACTTGGGGCTCCTTGAGGACAAAGGTGGGTCCATCTCATGGTTCTCTCTCCTAGGCCTAGCAGCAGTAGAGCACTGTGCACTTATTGTTGGTCATGTTGGAATCTTACTCACAAGACAGAGTTGCGACTTTGAGAGGTGGTGGAAGCCTACTTGGTAAAGTGAGGTGTCTAACATTAGATTACTTACTAGCTGCCACCACTTCTACAGTTTTTGTTTCAGTGAAAATGGAGGACTTAACAGAACTACTGGGAAAAATGCCTTATATAAGCATCTTGATTTTAAATTTTTTTCTTAAGTTGTTGATGGACTTTATTTATTTATTTAGCCGAGAATCGAACCCAGTGCCTCATATGTGCTGGGCAAGTGCTCTACCACTAAGCCACAACCTCAGCCCCTATTATAAGTATCTTGATGGCAAGAAAAATAGCCTATTTTTATTTATCACAGTGCTTGGAATGGCCCACTATTCAATCTAAGTAGGACTAATATATATCACTGATTCTATCAACATATACACTCTTTGCTTTTTTAGGTTTCACGATCTGCTCCCAGAGTTTCAACTGTGGTGAACATTAGACATTGAAGGAAAAACTGAGGACCAGTTTCTACTGTTGCCTTTGATACCAGTCACTATTTATCTTATAGACATTCTTGACATTAGGGAAATAGGACATGCCAGCATAAAAAAAAAAAAAAAAAAGATAGATTACTCATTGAGCATTGTTTAGGGATGAGTGATTCATGCAGGAAATTTTTGTTTGTCTTCCCAACAGGGGGTGTGGTAGCCTGGGACCATCATAGGATCTATCAGGAGCTCTGTGATTTTAGATTTTGGTATTCAGTTTCTGAACCTTAAAAGTGAAAATTAAACCAGAGGGAAAATAATTGTTATTCTGGGAATGCTTTACTAGATGAGACAAATTCTGCCTGCCTTGGTGACATCTCATTCTGTGAACAAGTCTGACGTGCTTCCTGTCAGTTCTACCATGGAGGCCCAGCTTCTTGACAAGGCCCGCTGCATATAATCCCTTCATCCACTAAGCTTCTTGACTCAGAACAGGCAGCTTGACTGGAATAGTGACAGTGGGAGGGAAACCAGTTTAGCCCGTAGCTCCATCACTCCAATGATGGCCAGTTTCACTTCAGCTCTTTGTATAGAGATTGGTCACAGAAAAGCCAAATGGTATGTACAGGACTCTGCAGTCTAAACCTTTTACTTCTCTTAATTGTAGTTGGTTTTGTTGTTTTTGCAAGGGTGGATTTGTGAGGGAGGTAGGTGTGTCTGGCTGGCTGGAGTAAACTAAACCAGTTGTGAGCAGGGACAACATCTTGAGCATTTTTGTATTTTAAAATTTTGTACAGTGTGTGGCCCAGTGTATAATACCTGTCACACACATTCACTTGTTGATTAAATGAAAAGCAGGCGGGAGAATGGGGTGTTCAATACATATTTCACTGCTTTCTATTTGTGGGGTATATGTTTGGTGCTTAGGAATGAAAAGATGATTAAGACCAAATTCAAAATGTCCTGGAGTCACTTGGGTTTGTATCTATAACTGGGGTGTTCATTTCAGTCTGTTTTTTTTTTTTTCCTTTTGTTTTTAACTTTCCCAAGTATTGGCTGCATTCCTCAGAAAATGATCCTTAGGTTAACTTATTTGTGTGTATGTGTGTACTCATATATGCTGATTTATTTTAGGTTTGTCCTGTTGCTAGGGTTCCTGATTATAGCACTATTTAAAAAAAAAAATCATTTGCTTGTCAAAATGGTGTTTAACAATTTCCTGCCTGTAGTTTCAGAGCTGTGGTGGTAAACATTCAAGAACAGACAAGATCTCATACATTCAGTGGACCTCAGTCTTTACTAGACCTTTAAAGACATTTATTAGGCAGTGAATATATTCCTGTCATCCATTCCACATGTGAATTATGTCACGATTCCTACTCAAGTAGTTACTTATTATTGACTTAAATATAAGTGTTTTCCTCACAGCATGCATTTGTTGCAACTACCTAGCTAGCTGGGTGGAAAACTCCTGAATCTCTGCAGCATCAAGCCAAGTCTTTAACAAAGCTTTGCTAGCTTTGTTGCACATTGGCTTTACTTTGAGAAGTCTTATAACCAAGGGCTAAAGCTGGAGAAATCATGGGGTAGGACTCCAGTGAATCGCCACAGTTTCAGTCAGAACTTTACAACCAATGTTCTAACTGGAATTATTTTTCCTCCAGTTATTTTATTGTGACCCATCACTAAATACGGTTGGCAGATATTTTTTCTTGGATTCAAGACTTCAAATGATGCTTAGAAATATGAAATAGGAAAAAAAGAAATAAGTGTGCTATAGGGTTATAGTACATATTTTAGAACTCTTTGGCTAACTATACTTTTTAATAGGAATGATTTTAAATTTATATTTACCATTCTAACCTAAGATTGGCCTAAACTTTCCAAGTTAGGCAGGACTTGAACAACTTACGTTGGTGTAACATCAGGGTGTCAGGAGCCTAGCTTGGGCTCAGCTGACTTACTCTGGGGAACTGTTGTATATTCTTTTCTCTGCAGTTATGTAGAAACACACATACAACAGGGAAAATCTAGTTAATGGTTAATATCTCAATTGATACTATTCGACTGTGGAATCTATTTGGTGATATCATGGACTCATCATTTTTATTTATGTTTTACTTAAGCTAATGTTAATTCATGTTGCCTCAATACTTGCTATCTAATGGCAGAAGAATCCTGCAGAGCTTTGATTCTGCCGAGGATAATCCATGTGACTGTAATGGACAGATTGACTTAGTGTCAGTTTTTGCATTGAGAGGGAAAAGACTGTTCAGTTTGGTTGTATGTCTAGAGCTCAGGTACGATGGCCTGTATTCCTGTGGAGAGGGAAGCTCTGGGTTATCCAGTGGTATCGTTTCTTTATTTCTTCACAGTGTAGGCATTTACTTAAGAGGGAAAAAAAGAAAAAAGGTGACAGAACTATAGTTGATCCTCATTATTTGTGGGCTCTTTATTTGTGTATTTGCCTACTAAAAATATAAAACAATTTAAAAGATTGCCTACTTGATAAAAGTTATTTGTAACCCTCAACTCAATACCCCTGTAACTTTTGGGGTCACTTGTGGACAGGAGGACAGTGATGAACAGTGGGAATCACTTGATTGACATGTTTCCAGCCGAAGTCAACAAAGGTGACACTTGGCCTTCTTGTTTCAATTCAAACCTTAAATACATGTCTTTTTTGCACCTGATTTAATACCATGTGTGTGTTTTTTTTCATTTTAATGCTTTTTTTTTAAATGATTTAGCTCTTTAAATTGTACCCTAGTGCCAAAAATGCTGTCTAGCACCTCTAAGGACAAGAAGACTGTGATGTTGCTCATGGTGGAAAATACACATGCTGAATAACTTGTGTATTATCCAGTATGTGTTAGGTAATTGCCATTCTCTTTCAGGCAGGAGTTTTAGTACACTCAGCTGTGAGTCCAATGTAAAGGAATTGATATGTTAAATAAAGTATCTTTTAAAAGAATAACACCCAAACAAAGTGAAAGAATTGACCAGTTGGCAAAATTGTGACCAGAGGCTGTCAGGAATCCAGTCTTGTAGTTTACTAAGGAGCAGTGGTTCAATATTTACTTATTTAGTATTTGTGACAACTTTGTTGAACATAATTAGACTGGATAATGATAATTGATTCTATGTGTTTATAGAAGAAATGGAAATTTAATTAGAACTCTTCTCCCAAGAAAGAAGTGTCAGTTCCATAATCCTGAACTGAGAAGGAACAGCATAAATATTAATTTCAAGTAGAAACTTGTACTGAAGAAACCAGCTATTTTAATTTCTACCTCCTCTATTATCTGATACCTTTTAAAGGTTTCACTGGAATCGATTCTGAATATGAAAAACCAGAAGCCCCTGAATTGGTGCTGAAAACAGACTCCTGTGATGTAAATGACTGTGTCCAGCAAGTTGTGGAACTTCTACAGGAACGGGTAAGAGACAGTGAAAAAAGAAAAACCAGAGAGAATTATATCCATCTTGTAACCCTCCCCCTCCAAGAACATGGTAATGTTAATATTGAACGATATTTGTATTTTAAATTCTTTAAGGGCCAACAGGTTTCTCTGTGTGTGTCATTGTGTTGGGTATTGTGGGGCATGCTTCATATGTACAATATATGAAATATTCTGGTTAAGTAAACTTCTGAAAACTTAGGAATAACATAATCTTTTATCAGTAATTTTACCACATCAATACCTAATAGCAGAAATCCAGCCATGATTATTCAGCCTTGCAACTTGGTATTATCGTGTTCAAGTTGAGGTACACAATATTGTTAACTTTCCCTAGACATTTAGGGAATGCCTGCATTTTCCCTGTGACAATTTGATAGGTATCCTTAGGGTTGAATTTTATCAAGGGATTCTGTGGAGGGTAAAATTCCAGAACATAAGGACCCTTCTCTTGTAACTGGGCATATTGAAGCTTAAAGAGTCCTGATATTATCCAGGGTGCTCAAACCCACTAACAGGTGCATGGTTTCTTGACTCTGTTCTGTGTTTCTAGAAGTTTTTTTTCTTTTCCTTCTCCTTTTGCTCAGTCACACATTGATTAAAAGCCCATAACTATAGTTGGTCTTAGTCCTAGGGTCTGACAGTGCAGAGGTTAATCAGCTGTGTTTCCATTCTTGAGGGATTTACATTGTAGGGGACAGAAACAAAAAAAGATGATGTAACTCCTACAAAGTGTTAGAAACCATGATTTCAGTATGTCTGTGGTATCTTGGAGCCACGGAGGAATTACTATGGAAAGGCTTTCAGATCTTTCTCTTCTGCTCATTTTAAAAAGATACTTCTTCTGTTAGGTATGAAATTTTGAGTTGACAGTTTTGTTTTGTTCTTTTCTTTCTGTTCAGTATTTAAAGATGTTGCTCCATGGACCTTGTTTGCATTATTTCTGAGGAGAGTTTGATGTCTTGTCTTTGTTCGCTATAACTGTTCTCTTTTCCCCCGTCTGAACCAGGATTTTCTCTTAATTCTTTTTTCTTAGCAGTTTTGGTATGATATATCTAGGTCTTCTAGTATGTTTGGGTCTTTTTCTTCCAGCTTAGGGTTCTCTGACCTTCTTGGGTTGGTAAAGATTGTTCCAAAGTTTTAAGATGCTCTTTTTAAAAATTCTTTCCTATTAATAATTTAGTTTGATAATTTTAATTCACTTACTTTTAAGTTCCTGATTCTTCCCTGTATCTATTAATAGTGATATGTTTATGGAAGAAATTTTAAAACTCTGGTAATCATTAACAAACAAATTTGTCATCATTTGGCTCTCCTTTCCATGTAGTATACAGGGAAATTCTGTTGAAATTCTCCATCTTTTCATGCATGTTGTCCACTTTTCTACTAGATCACACAATCATGAATTATAATATTATATTTCAAATCCTATATGATGGTTTGAACATCTGGGTTGTTTCTGGACATGGCTTTGTTGATTGTGTTATCACTTGACAGTGTTTTTGTTTTTTTGGCCTTTTTGTGGTATCTTGTGATTTACTTTATTGAAAACTGGATATTGTGTCTACATGAATAGAAGAGATTTGAGAGAAATAATGTTTACTCCATGGGGACATATCTTTTTCTGCTGCGCTTTTAATGTAGTGAATTGAATTAATTCAGTTGGTATTCAGTTGCCTTTCTCCTTATTTTATAGTTCCTCTTATTGTACCACAGGTTTCAAATTTTTCCAGGGGTGAGTTGCTTTACCTTGTACTGGTGTGGGGCCTGGACTGTTCTTGGGTTTTTCTCAGTGCAACTGGTCCAGATTTCTGCATCTTCTGCGTGCCCATTCCACAGAAGGTATCTCTTTCCCTACTCTGTTCCTCTTTCAACAGTAAACTGCTGTTGCTTATTTTTTTTAGTGCTAGGCTCATGGTAGGAAAACCACAGTGATGGTTCTAGGTCTCATGGTTCAGCTTCAGTCTTAGGTAGGACCTAAGTATCCTCTTAATGCCTTTGAGTCTTGAGGCAGGTTTTCCTCAGTGTCTGCCTCTTCCTGACATGGCAGTTAACTTCTTTGAACCTGGGATGTCCTGTGGGTGAGTTTCCTATTTGTCACATCACTAGCACGTTTTGTGTCTATTTACCTGGTTTGTATCAGTGCAGGATCTTGGGCCCAAGAGGATTTCTCCACCTCCTTTTCTTCAGCAGATCCTATTTGATTCTACCATTCCCCTAGATGGACTCTAGGAGTGGACCCTAGGAGAGCCTCTGCCCTTGTCCATTGATTTAAGGTTTTTGTGTATATGAGGGAAGGGTTTGGGAAATGGGCAGAGTTCTGTGACTGTACCACTGAGGAAGACTCTTAGTCTCCAGACTTGACTCTTGAGCTTTCTTCTGAGCACCTGTTTTTGGTCTTTTTATGACTGAATACAGAAACCTTTGTTCCCGGGGATCCCAGTTATACTCACCTGCCACACTACTCTATTCTCAGCCTTTAAAAACTTTGAACATATTTTAGCTGTTTTCTTCTTACCAGCCTTTATTCCTCCCGTGTTCTGGGAAACAGTTCGCACTTCTTGTCTTTTCTGGGTGGCCCTTGTCACTCGAGAGTAGCAGTTCAGCTCACCGTTTTAAGACCTTAGTTCTGTGATGGGCTCAAGAAAGTTTGTTTTTTTTAGATTAGCTGGCCTTTTCACTTGTTGGTAATGTTCTCCTGCGGCACTTCCACGTCTCATTTTCAGTGAATTTTTACACTACTGTTACTGTTGGTGCTTGTGTTAGCTTTGCATTACTGTAAGAAACCCCCTGAAAGTCAACTTAAAAAGAGAAGTTTATTTTGGTTGGTGGTTTCAGAGGTTTCAGTCCATGGTTGATTAGCCCTGTTGCTTTGAGTCTGTGATGAGGCAATGTATCATGGTGGGAATGAGTGGCAGAGGAAGCTGCTCAGCTCATGTTGGCCAGGAAGCAAAGAGAAAGAGGAGGGCTGGAGTCCCAGTGTTTTCAAGGACATGACCAGACTTCTGTCCACTAGGCCTCACATCTTAAAGGTTCCCCACCTCCCAATAGCACCACAGGGCTGAGGATCAAGCTTCCAACACTTGGGCCTTCAAGGGACATTTGTGATCTACACTATGGCAGTATTAATGATAGTTTTCATTTATATTGGAATAAAATCCTTGCTTAGACATGGATTATAATTTTCTGTCTTTTTCATTGAAACTTTCATTGTGATTCCAATATTTTTTTTTAATTTTGATTGTAGTTTTATTTGCTTTTTTGTACATTGAACTTAAGTTTTTTAACTTGAGTGTTATTATATCAAAGTTATAAAGTATCACATAAAGTTTTAAATTTCATTAGTTTTGTCTATTTTTATATCTAATTAAGGAGTCTTAAGTGTTTTACAAAATCCCAGAAAAATGTGCATAGATAACTTTTTATATAATTTTATGGGGCTCATGAATCTCTGAGGCTGTTTTATGGCTAGAGATGATTTCAGATAACTCTGACATTTATAAGTATTTTGACAGGTACTGAAGGTATCTCTCTTCTTTTCTGTTTTTATTCAATTTGTAATCACTTTTTTTAAGGCCCTTCTTAGAGTAGCATCCTTTGTGTTTAATGCTTTACCGACATACAGGCTTTTTTTTTTTTCCATTGTGTGGAAGAAGATGTTTTGTTGTTTTTATTTTAAAAACATTTTACTTTGAGAAAACGTTGCATTTCCTCTGTAAGTCTAAAAATAACAGAGAATTCCCATACATTCTTTACAAGTTGTGCTGATTTTTCCACTGATTTACTTTCCTGATTCAGAATTCAGGATATCATATTCAGAATTAAATTGATTCTTAACCATAGTTCTGTAAAGTGATGATGCAGACTCCTATGGTATGTGTCATGCACAGGATTTTACATCTTTTTTCTTTTTTTTTTTTTTTTTTTCTCTAACAGTTAAAAATTGAGGGTAAGTGCTATGGTATGATGTTACCACACCTCCAGTTCTGTATGCCTTTTGGTATTTGCAGAATCATCTTTCTGTCATGTAGTCTGTTTCCCCCTTTCATTCTAAAACATTACCTGATTTTTCCCATTGTTTTTAGAATCAGGGTGACTTGTGTTCCAGGTTCTTCATAGTTTGGTACCAAGCTGCGTATTTTCTTATTTGCTGACCCTATGTCTTTCACTGTAGTATTTTCTGTTTCTCTGTGTCTTTGTGTCTGTTTCTCTCTCTCTGTTGCTTGTCTTAATCTCTGTAGTCCTAATTAATGCTTTCTTCCTAATTTGTTTGTGCCTAATTAATGAATATATGAATTGCCTTTGATTTTATACAGATATTAGTCTGTATTATGCCTGCTAGTTAGTATGATGATTGGGTAATTTTATTCAAAGTTTGAAAAAGAGTGATAGATCAATTAATATTTGCTGAGTACATATATAAGGTACATATATGCAGGGCATTTTTTTTTTTTTTTTTTTTAAATAATGCATTCTGCTTATCAGAATCTGGGGAAGAGGTTTCTTTTCCTAGTTTAGCTTCCAACTACCTTTCACCTGAATTACTATGGTAGTTTCCAAAGTGATCTTTGTACTGAGTACTTTCTACGTGTTTTGTAATTTTATTCATGCAGTAAATTTATGAATATTTCAGAGAAGTTAAGACACTTGCTGATGACTGCAGAGTCACTTTCATATACTTTTACTTTTAGGACTCTTCTCATTACATTTTAGTACAATGTAATTAAATATGTATCCAGAAAGGGATTCTGGTTATATTTGTTTAGGACAGAGAAGATTTCAAATAGTTGAAAAATTATTTGTTTTTATCTTAAAAGTTGAGTAGTAACAAAAGAAGAAATACAAATGCTTCCATAGTATGATTGCTGTCTTTTGATGTCACTCTTCTTTGGGCCAAAAAATTTCAGTTACATGCTTTTCTAAGTAAGTGACTCACTTCCCATTGAAAGCATGTGAATATTTTTCTGTTGTTCTTGGTT